AAGAGCCACTTAGCTAACTCAGGTGTTTAGCAAGGCCCCCGCCTCCAGGAGGACACCGATCCTCAACAAATGAAGCGAGGATGATAGTTTTACATCCTGCACTGCCTCTCTCGGAGCCCCATGCCTTTCACATTCTCTCCCAGTCTCTCGTTCGCTCTTTCACTCTCTCTTTTACTCGGTGGTCAACATGACATGTGGACATGTGACAAACATTGGTAACAAGTGCGTCGCTACTAGTAGCAACTTGTTACTAGTAGTAACGCACTTGTTAGTAGTAGGCGATGCAAGTTGATTGTTCCTAGTAGCTTCTTGTTACTAGTAGTAAGAATGCTGCTAGTAGCGATGCCAGGATCCCTGCTACCCCAGGGGGTGGGGGGGTCGGACCCCCAACAGAAAATGGATTATCCATTTTTTACCCTGATGATGCATTAGCAACGGTCTCGATCCAGTGATATTCAGTGTCGTCCATAGCACCAGCCTGCACTTACCCAACCTGTTTTGCACTTTCTGCATCATATCTTGCATCGCTTGGGTTGTGTTTTTGATCTTTTGGCGTCATCTTTTTGGTCTCTTTTGGGCTGCGTCCTGTTTCTGGTCGAGAACAAAAAAAGCATTGGATAGGGGTCCAGGTATCTGGTATTTCGAGGTGCAAAACAAGCGAGCGTTGGGTTGTATATCTTGTTACATCGAGCGTTAAATCAAAGAAGCAGACCTTGATTTACATTGCGTGGACGCGTTGCCTAATACACTGCATGGACGCGTTGCTTACGCCCGCGGGGCGTAAGCGATGCGGACCCTCAGGGAGCTCCTAGTAGCGATGCCAGGAGCCCTTAGTAACGTCCTTGTTGTGTGAGTAGTAAGGGCAGGAGCCCCTAGTAGCGTCCTTGTTCCTAGGGCAGACTTTACGGTGCAAACTTGAAAGCAACCCATTTGGTATGACAGCTCTTGCTCCTCAGGCGCCTGTCAGATCCTTTCAGTACCAAGTGGCCACTCATCAGCATCGCAGCCAACTGCGGTGCAGCCGGCAACCCATGCCTGGATAGGGTCTTTTGGGAGTATGATGGGGAATCGCAATGGAGCAACATCATTTGGGCCTTGTGCGCCCGTATGAATCACCGTGAGCTCCAATTTGGCAACCCATGGCAACCCAATTGAAAAGCCAAAAGGTCTTGGATGAGCAAGAAAAAGCTGACCGTGTTTCCTCCAAGCAATTCGAAGCATCAATCGGTCAGAAAAGGGAACCTTGAAGATCTCAGGCACGGGCACTTTCAGCAGTTGCATCACCATCAAAGGCATTCCTTGGAAACTCGTGCCGTCAACCGGACACGTGCCAACTTGGCTTTAAACATCCCATGACTCCTTTGAAGACTTGTAAAGAACTGTTCCTGCTGGTCTCAGGGATATGATATGCCAGGCTCTGTGAAAGTCCTCGCGAAGAACCTTTATTTTTGTTGGTAGCATTAATTTTGCAGTTCATTCTTCCATTCTTCATCATGTTCATCACTTCCCCCAAGTGGAGGGCCTGTTCAGTTCAGGAATCTGGACTTCCAGATCCATTTCAGGGATGCAACAAATCTCCCGACAGTCACGGGCTAAGTTCAGATCAAGGGTGGGCGTGAAGGCAGCTGTGAACCTTCCAAGCTGTCACAAAAACCAAGCGACCAAGGCTCATCTACAAGCAGTCATAAGCTACACAAGGGTCACAAAGAAATGAATTCTGCCTACTAGGACGCTGTGTGAAAAAGGTGCATTGGCCAAATTCTCTGAGAGCCAAGCTGGCTAAGGGCATCCCGAAAGCACGCGCTGAGCAGTCGCTCTGCGTGTGAAACCTGTTCAAGGTTTGGCTGCGGTGCCTCCCTAATCTCTGCATGCCATCCCAAATATCGGGACCAATGGCACAATCCTCTATAGAGCGGTTATTTTTGAAGGGGTCGACTGGCATGAAACGCACGTGTCATTCCAACATCCTGACAGAACCTTAGAGGAACCTCTACTGATTCTATCAACCCATCTGAGGAGAGCTAGCATTTGGGGCCGACACAGACAAGTGGCAAGTACCTCTACTTCATCGCGATACAGGGGTCACTTCTTTCTTTAATTGATTATGTCATGTCTTTCCTTTGTTCTTTCCCTCACTTGCTCCGTTCCTCATTGTCAAACAAGGCCAAGTGCTGTCAGGGCACTCAAGCTCTTGAACTCTCCATGGCACTGTCCTGATAGCACCGATCTCATGCGTGCAGGCACGAAATGTTTGATGGAAACTTGCCTTTCAAGTCCAGGATTGGGTCTATCCTATTACCTGTAACAGTGGGTCTCCTAGTAGTAAGGCCGGGAGCCCCTAGTAGCTTCTTGCTCCTAGTAGTAGCGTCCTCTACTATGGACCTCGTATATGCTCCAAAAACTGAGTTCGGTGAAACAAGGAACCACGTTTTTTGGACGCCTTCGCTCTTGCCTACAAGAGACTACTCTTTTTGGTCATTTTCCTATTGCCTGTGCCCCATGGCAGCCTATAATTTCATCTGGTCAGGCCAGGCCAGGCCAGCCTTGTGATCAAAAAACACTGAACATCTTGGAGTGCAGCAGGCGGCATCGGACACCTACACCATGCTACACCCGTACCTTTAAGAACTTCCGGAGAGATTTGTGGGTGAACTGGAAGAGCCTAAAAGCGATGGCCTCCAACCTAGAAACGATGAACTTCTGCATGTCTTGAACTTCCTCTGCAGAATGGACAGTCGTTCCAATGTATACAGTCATACGTAGTAACCTCTAGTCACCTCAAATTGCGAGGCGCGGGGCCTTTCAGCGGGAAAATGAGTAAAAACATGATAGACGAAACAAGTGTTCAAGTTAGGTACATGTTGACGACACGTTCGCTGTGCTATGTGGCTATGCAGATCTGTCTTTCCAGCTTTTGTGCATAGCCTCCTGAAATGGGGGCCTTCTTCGAAAGCACCATTGCCCTTCGGCAGCCGCAGGTAAAATCTCTTCAGCCCTGATCTTTGTCGTCTCTTGCACGCACCGGACCGTCGTCTCTGCATGACGCACTTGTGGCAGCGGCCGATTGTGACTCGGCCATTAACCCTCCAACTGGCAAAACGACCCTCTTGGCCATCTGGTCTTGGATGACACTGGCAACATTAGTGCAGCCTCTGCGCTTGATGCCGGCGGCGCTGCTGCGTGCTTTGGAGGATTCACATGGATTTATGGCGTTCAGGCGCGTCCTTGAAAACCGGGCACGGCACCTTGAGATCAGAACTGTACAGGTGACCATGTTCTGAGGTCGATTTTTGACCAAAGCACCTGATGTCAAGCTCGACCCTCCCCATGACTCTTGGCACGACACCGCTCAGTTTCTTTGGTTCTGTGATATTGTGAGATATGCAAGTGATCAGTGATTTACTACATTTTTCTGAATGACATTTCTTTGGTTTGAGGGGAAGGGCGGGCAACTCCAAACCCAAAAGCAAACAGGCTGGACGCATCTTCTGCAAAGCTTGCCAAATGGCCATGATGACAGATTGGGATAGGTATGGAATAGTAGGGCCAGGAGCCCCTATTTAATAGCTTCTTGTTCCGAGTAACGATGCCAGGAGCCCCTAATAGCGTCCTGACTGGTGCACATTGTGACTGGACAAGCAGGAATTACCACTCAACTTCCGGCCGCGCTGTCATCGATCAGCACGTCTGCCTCGCTCTCCCAAAGGCGGTACTATCTTTGCCCCTCCCTGCAAACTAACTATATACAATTTAATAGAAAACAAGAACCAGAACTAGAACGTTGTTTGTATGGTTTGAGCTCCAGAACCGTTGATTTTTCACGAAGGACTTCTTATCGGTTACCGTTCATCAGGAAGAAACACTGGAAGAAACATACATATCCGAGAAGCGATGAGCCCTTCAGGACAAAAGCTTGGTCAGCATATAAGCAACACACAGCAGGCCAGCAGGAACAAACACAACCGTCGATTGGAATGTGTTCGGCCCAAAAATGTTGAGGTGCAGCACGGTTCAAGAAATACATAATACATCACAATCCTAGCAATCAAGCGTTTGATTATAGCATCTTGCTCCAAAGCCGTAGCGCTGAAGATTTGTTATATCATTTGAGCACTCCAGTCCAGCCTTGACTGTCGGTTCAGGTGGTGGTTGTATGGAGCCTCGCTCTGCTGCGAACATGTGAGACACATTCAAAAACCGCATTTCCTCGCACTAGGTCGGCTCTTCGGCTCACAGGCTGGAGGCGATTGCTTGTAGGTTGGAGGCCATCGCTCTTAGGTTGGAGGCCATTGCTTGTAGGTTGGAGGCCATTGCTCTTCTCTGCTCACATGTCCTTAATCCAAAGTATCTGAAAACCAAGCCTTCAAAACTTATTGCGCATCCGGCGCTATCAGCCTTTGACTTTGCCGTTTCTTTTCAGTTTTTCTCAGCTCTCAGACTCTAGGCTCCATACAGTATGGCGTCGATGAGGCCTGCTCGTTACCCACGCGCTCCAAGCATCGAGTCACTGCAGCCTCCACATGATATCCACACATCGGCATCTCGCAAGTCACTAGTAGTAACAAGTAGTAACAAGTGCATCGCTAGTAGTAACAAGTGCCTTACTAGTAGTAACAATGTTCGCTAGTAGAAACAATAACCTAATAGAAATGCCCTTGTTACTAGTAGGCGATGCAAGTTGATTGTTCCTAGTAGATTCTTGTTACTAGTAGTAAGAATGCTCCTAGTAGCGATGCCAGGAGCCCCTAGTAGCGTCCTTGCTCCTAGTAGCGATGCCTTTGCTCCTAGTAGCGTCCTTGTTCCTAATGGGAGGAAACTAATGTAAAAATTAAGTAGAATGAAGGCACAGGAGACACAATGAGACAAGTCTCAATTGAGGCACACATGTGGAGGCCAAACTGAGCTTCGCGACACTGCCGGACAAGTTTGTGCAAACATGTGGAGATGTACCGTTGGTAGTCTGGTCACCATAGAAACATTGTCGATCTCTCATGATCTCTTCATATTCTGTTATGAACAGCCCTCGCCTCCAGCAGCATCATGATGCGGATCTCATGTGCCTTCTCCCATGCCATTCGCTGACCCTGCAGGATGTAGCGTTCCTTGCAGTCTGGAAGCTAGCATAGCTAGCTAGCATCTAGTGGAATCCAGCAGCTGAAAATGGGATGTGATATCTTGCTTCAAAAACTATCCAACATAATTAACATCAATTAACACAATCCGCCGGCCGCCGGCTTGACAAACTTCCAAAAAACGACTACAACCTGGACGGCTGGTCAGTTTCTTCTCATGCCAGGTGACCATGTCGCGCAGGGAGGGATTTGAGATGGCTGCCTTGACTGAGGCCAAACCCACGTGTGGTGGGTGCACAGTGAGGCCTGACTTGTTCTCCTGGAAGTCTTGTGACAAATGCTTTGTAGCCTCGACAAGTGCGAAGTTCGCGTGAGGCGTTGGCGGAAAATTCGAGTCACTTCAAATCACTTCTGCACCGGACTCGGAAGAGGGTTTTTGATGGTTTTTGGTCTACTAGTAGGAAGGGCATCGCTACTAGGAACAAGAAACTATTTCTCGTCATTTTGATTACTTCTGTTAGCTCTTGGTCACGTGCGTGGGGGAGGTAGACAGGTAGGCGGTAAGAGTAGCTACGAGTAGAGCTGCGAAGATCGCTTTGGAAGTGCACGGCTACTAGCTACTGCTTGTTTTTTAGACCGTGGCCCTGCCTCCTTACTCAACTAAGCAGGCGCCTACTTAATTACGTAAGGAGTAAACACGCTACTAGCCTAGCAAAAGGAAGCTCTTAGTTAGGACGCAGGATAGCTGAGAGTTCCATATTAGCCGTCCCAAACAATTCCAGGGGGGGGGGGTCGACCCCCCCCCCCCCCTTTTGTTTT